GTTAATAAAAACCACAACGAGTAAAAGTTGATTAGAGCGAAAAAAACATAATAAGCATAATAAATCCTTTATTTTTTTGCAAATTGTTGTGTATATACAGCTCAGCTAATCCAACACTATTTTTTCATTGTATTAAATATAAATAGTTTTTCATACAAAAAGTGTTTTTTTTCTCGACATTGCAAACATTTTTGAGGAAATTCTCATTGAAGTCATAGTCAGAGTCAGAATGATCTATAAAAAACAACACTTCTGCATAAAATTTCGTGTTTGAAATTTAGTTGGTGCACCTGATTTGCTGCGTGGAAAAAAAGTTATCGGTCAGCGAAGATTGTTTTTTGAGGAGATACTGTTTTCTATTTAGAATTTTCTGGAGGGGGGGGGGGGGCGGATTCTCAAAACAATGTCGAAATTATTGTCGACCTTTTTTAGGTCGGCCAAATCGATTTCCGAGATCTCCTATAGCATTAAAAAACCCAATTTTTCGCCAATTTTTCTACGCTGCAGGCAAAGTTTTGGAAAAAACAAGCCAAAACCCAGGCCATCTTTTGAAAACTTTCGAACAAAAAATTGCAATGTTTTGGCGCGCGCTTCCCCCTCAAAACTGGTAATTATTGGCGTCAATTGTGCTTTTAGAATAATTTTAGGATTCGTCAGCCAAAATGGACATTTTAAAATAGCACCAAGGGGAGACTCTTTGGTTAAGCAGTGGTCGAATTCCTGAGAGCGGGGGCGTCCACCTCCCACCACCCACCAATTTCGCTACCGTCAAAAACCAAAATTCCTCCGCGCCTTCGATAGGCGCAACAAAAATTTCGCCCCTCACACTTTTAATCCCTGAGAAATCACAACCAAAATCTTTCAAGAATCTGGAAAAAACTATTCTTATGGAAAATTCTTGTACTATTCGAATTACCCGTAAAATCCCTTCCGCACCTAAATGATTATTTTAGCCACAAATTATTTTTTAAAAATAATTACGCATAGAATATTCACTTCAAACAGACGCGCTGAAAATATTGCTTCAAAAAACTTACATTTTTACATGAAATAGCAACTCAACGCTTTTAACTAGCTATTTTATTAGCCATAATTGTGTTCCGATTAGTTCATTTGATTAATCAGATTAATTTGTTTTGCTTTGAAAGTTTTTTTTTTGAAAACCGGTAGTTAACATTGCCTAAATCGATTTCGGGAGAAAATATTCAGTTGAACTTTCACGTGATCTTACAAGTTTGAGCCTGACAGTTTTTCATATCTCTCGAGAAACACTGATTTATTATCTGACTTTACCGGACAAAACAATCCTAAGGAAATGTAAAAAAGAGCGACAAATTTCTAAGTTTATTTCTTCTTTGATTTCCATTCTAAATTCTAGCAAATATTTTTCTAAATATAGAATATGTCTAGCCAGTAAAAAGTCCTTCAGGGATTTCACAACCAATTTGACGTTAACTTGACACGTGCGTTAAAGGCTAAGCTACGACGCCTCTTTTAATTAATAGTCGTCTGGAACCAAATCCGCTGCTGTCCAAAACCGAAATACAATCCTCGCCTTCAATAGGCGCGCAAAAAAGCAATTTGCAGGCCAATTTGGTTTGAAAAAATCCCCTGCTTCAATTCAAACTGTCATCCTTGCTTCCCTCAAAGTTGATCAAACTACAATTCGCCCCTAACACTTTTCACCCATGATATATTATCACAACCAAAATCTTTCAGGAACCTGGCAGGAAACTGTGATCTCTCGCAAAATTCTTGTAGTATTCGGATCCACCGTAAAATCCCCTCACCTTCTAAATGACCTATCGTAGAAGTTACTCTCTAGCCATGTATTAAATTCGAAAAGTTAATACGCTTGAAAAAGCGTCATTCGAAACAAACGCCCTGAATGTATTGCTTTTGCTTTTTTCTCAAAAACCGGTACTTTACATTTTCTAAACTGATGTTTGGGGAATAGGTTTAATTGAGCCTTTTTTTTTATGAGATCTTACAAACCGAGCCTGACAACTCTTCATGTCTTTCGATAAAAACATTGAATGTATTATCTGAATTTCTTGCAAGAAAATCTCAGCGAAATAATCAAAGAAAGCGTGAACTTTCTAAATTTGTTCCTTCTTTGTTTTTTAATCTAATTTTAAACCAAAAAATTTATAAATTTTGAGTATCTTGAGCCAGTAAGAACGCCTTCAGGGATTTCACAACCAATTTCACGCATACTCGACACGTGCTTTAAAAGCTAAGCTAACGACGCTTATTTTGAATATTAGTCGTAGAAAAATAAAGCAAAACAAGACTGCTCGTATCAGGACAAGTCTCTGAATGTTCGGACTGCGTTTTAAGATTTTCAGAATTGTTGTATTTTTTTAAAAAACATTGCTATTTGTCAAATACCATGATTTGTTAAAATCAAAAAGATTATTTTGAATAGACCAAGTTGCATGACGCGGCTCAATTCGGAGCAATTTCTTAACCGGATTAAATCAACTCGTACTTGTAAATAGCATGAAATGTATCGCGCGTTTATTATCCGACAATGACCAAATTGGTAATCTTCAAACCCACCCATAGATTGAAAAACTCACTGGTAAAATACTTTTCTAAATTTGGGATGAAGACATTAATTTTTTAGAATCAGCTTTGAAATGTCTACTAGAAGGACAACTTAACATTTCGGATTCAAAAAATCCCGTAAAAATGGCTGGTTAAAAAGGAATCTAGTCAATTATATCCTCTTGCATGTTTAATTGTAACGAATTTGTCCCTTATAAATAAAAAATTAAAGCCCTACAAATTTTTGTACATTGTAACGAATTGGCCCCCTTTGCAAAAGATCATTCAAAAGTCTAAAATGGTCTGGCGATTAAAAAACACGAGCACAAACAATCCGTCGTTTTCGTCAAAAATTGGAACACAAGTCTTATTGTTGCGACTTTCGGTGGAAACGGCGGAATGTTTGTGCTCATGGTCGTTTCTTTTCGCCAGGCAAATTTCGATTTTTTAACTAGGAAAACCTGACAAGTAAATTTGTATCAGCAGTTGTTCTGAGCTAGGATTTAGAAAAAAATTCCCGTGGTTGTTTCCAGAAAGTTATAGGGGTTTAAAGATTATCTATTTGGAACCACAAACGCACGATGTAATTCGTGTTATAAACGTAAAATCAGAGATTCATACCCACTTAGAAATCGTTCCAAATGGTTTTTGAAACAAAATCCCTTTTTTTCAGATTTTTCATCCAGTTTTTTATGACAAACACTACTGCATAGCGCTTCAAATTTAATTGAAAAAAACATGTTCTCACTTTTACACGAGCAGTTTTGATAGCTTTAAAGTTAAGGCAACTGCATATGATTGTATACAGAATGAACAAGTACAGTGCTGAGTTAAACTATCCGCACAAAACGAACATTGGAAACATCAAACGAGCTTTCCTCAAAGAAAACACACGAACAAAAATTCCTCAAACAAAAATTGCACGAACAAAAACACACAAACAAATATTCCTAAAACGTTCAACGGAATTGTTTTGGATAATTTTGTTTTTTTTTAAATATATTGTTAATTTAGTTAAATGATTGGAAAGTTATATCAGAAGCAGAAAAATTTTTTTTTAAAGTTTTGAGCAAAATTTTTGAGCCAGATTTTCCTTCTCAAAAACTTTGTTGGGTTGAGTAGGAGGCTCTTTTTCATAAAATTTTTTTTAGCTATAATTTGGTAGTTTCACTGGAGTTCTTGATTAACTAAAAAATGCCAAACTTACCCATTTTTTGGGTAAAACGTTGATTCCAAATTTCGCAAAAGACAATGCTCCATATCACTTCTGGTAAAAATTTAACCTTTTTTGTTCTCTTTACTTTTTGAATTATCCTAACTCATTTTTTGAGAAGAACACTTTCAAAATTTCCACTGATTTTGCTCCGACCATTGAAAACGGGAAGGAGTTCTGTATTTGGGTGTGTTTTAGTTTTTTTCTTTACGTTTTGCACGCAATATCAAGTACCACAAATAACCATCGGACTAGGTTGAGTGATATATCATATTAAAGTACCTTTCGTCGTGATTCGAACCACATTAAAAAATTTCCACTTTTTTCTAGCGTCGAGAAAAACTGGTTTGAAATTTTGATTTTTCGTCGTAATTCGAAAGAATAAAGCGAGCGAGCAGTCTTACAACAGCTAAATAATGCTTAATGTAAGACCTTAAAACTTAATTTTAAGCAAGTAAAACTAGTTTTTGGAGTTTTTAGCTTCATTTTGGGAACCAGAAACTTCAAAAAATGAAAAATTTGAAAAAGTTTTTTTTTAAAATTTTTTCAGTGGATCTAATAATTTTTTTACAATTTTTGATTCCAATATGCATATATAACTATGACTGCTTAATATGCCTAAAATTATATTTTTACGTCAGATTCTTTTATCACACCAAGCAGAAAAAATTACACTAGCTTGGAAAAAAACTTTCTAAACCTTAGTTTTCTTAAGACTATGGTCGGAACATTCTGTGCTAATTGCACAGTATCCAGCTATCCTTGTTCGTTTTGTCCCAATAGTCAAAATCAGCACGTGTTGCTTGAGCGATGAACTGACTTTAAAGTTAATCCAGAAACACAGGTTATTTTTAAGGTTTGATAAGAAATAGATATATTATTCTCATACACAAAAAATTCTATCCAGTTTAGAAGCCTTTGTTGAACATGAAAGATAACCAATCAAAAATTAATCAAAAAATTTGCAGATTGAATAAATTTACATGGACTATTTTGGAAATTTTTGTAAGAATCAAAACAGCCCATCCTCGTCCAATACGGAAACGTTTAAACGCCATTAAATTTTAGAAGGGTGAACCGTGATCGGTAGTTTTTTATCTGATTGCAAATTTATACTCGCTCTCGATAATTATCGTACTAAAATTTCCTTTTCTTCAAGTGTACTTCTAAGCTTCGATTAACATCTGATTTAAATTTTCAATGACCATAAGTAAATTTTAAGGTAGAATAAACTTACGTGGGTTGTCGTTGTCGCTTTCATTTTTACTTTCTTTTTCTATTTCTGCAGCCATTTTCGCACCAGTTTTACTGCATAAAATAAAACTAAACAAATTCGTGAATGTTTAATCAGTACTTTTACTGCTGATAAGTGTTATAACTCTGCGCTTGCAAAGTTTGAAAAAATGAGTGGTTCAATAAACTCAACGAGCAAAACCGTAAAATAATCAGTTTCAAATGTCATAGGTATTTCCTTCACCCTACGTAGTTCTAGGCTTGTTCAAAATTGTTTTTTTTTAATCAATGAAAGGGAAAAGCTCCATTCATAATGCCACGAAACAGGAAATTATAATCACAGTTTTCAACCGTCGTGGAAAACAATAAATTGAACGAAGCAAAAATAATGAAGCTAAGTTACACAATATTGGTAATTGAGTTTTTTTTGCAAAACAGTTTTTAGTTATTGGCATAAAATGTATTTCTTGTAACTGCAAATTTTGAACAATGAAAGATGTAACAAAAAATTGGCGGCGAACAGTTCGGTAAAAAAAAATTTGCGAATAAATTTAATGTAAAATGATTGCCGTTGCAACTTGTTACGGTTTCAGTGGTCGTCAAAAGCATTTGCTGAAGCCTTGCTTGAATAATTTACAACTTTGGATCAATACTTTGTGCAAATCCATCCTTCTATTTTTAATAGACCATATTTTTGATGAAAAGACTCAACGCTTCACAAAAGTGATTTAAGCAAAGCGGTTAAAAAAACGCCATAAACCGTAGCCATAAATCTAAACTTCAATAGGTTTATTCAACAGTGATATAATACACAAGACAGAATATATTGAAAAGGCTGTTATATATACTAGAGCTAATCCGGCCTTAAGTGAAATCGGATTTCCCCTTTAGTCTTTTCAAGTCTCACGGGAGAGAAAGAATCATAACAAATGATCCCGAAAAGAGACAAACGGGCTCCGAAAATGGCTCTTGAAAAGTCTGATAGCATCCAAATATGTTTACAACTCAGAATTTATTAATATGACAAAAAAGATTACCTGCTTAATCAGTTATTTTCGAGTGGAATACAAAAATACCTCATAAACACATCATTCCACGGAAGAGGATAATATGTTCAACCACCTAAATCTGCTCAAAAAAACCTTTTATCTTCAGACTCATTGCAGTTTGTTTTTCGATTCTTTTTCTTAAAAAAAACTCAATGGAAAAAATCATTGAAGAGAATAATATGTTTGTTCAACCACCTAAATCTGCTCAAAAACACCTTCATCTTCAGACTCATTGCGGTTTGTTTTTCGATTCTTTTTCTTTAAAAAAACTCAATGGAAAACCCAATGACATCTAATGCCCTTATTGTTATATCTTTTCATGAGTATCTGCACATTAAATTTATATATTGTCAATCCTGAAACTTTTCCTGCTTAACTCACGGAAAGCTCGTGGTTTTCTAACACAACTCAAACTTCAAATTTATGTTTTTCTTATCTTTTTACTTAAACAATCGTTAAACGAATCTATCATTCCGAAAAAAAGATAGCGTGACGAACAGACGAGACGGTGTACCTTATCCGAAACAAAATTACTCTATGAGAAAGCCACCCCAGATTTAAACTCACAGTATTTTACCCACAACTTTTCAAACGTTTTTTTGCGTTTAAAATACATGCCAAAGGTAGTTTTTTTGTTTTAAACAGCCTTACCGGAACTTATCCCCCGTAACATATACACCCCCACCAACCGGGACACACACATCAACCTCAATCCCTCCCTTGTCTGAGCTAATGAATTTCTTTCTAGTTGACATTCCATAGTTTTATTTTTGTTTTTAAGCATTCAGTCTGAGCCCGGAACAGTCTGCGCCCGGAACAGTCTGATCTGAGCTATCTCAATAAGTTGAATTGGCTTTATTCGATGTCAGACTAAAATTTATTATTTTGCAATAGTGTTGATCAACTTTTAGCCTTGCTGAGGGTTTCTGGTAAAAAAAAATTGCGCCCATGTTCTCGTAAGAGCAGTACTGAAGTGCCAAGGTTCCACTTTTGGGTCGTTTTCTAATAGAGGAGGTAACAACTCAATTTGGAGTTTTTCCTTTCATTAGTGTGTCGACGAATTTCTTGCATACCCTGATGAATCCTTAGTTGACTTCCAGCGGTACATGAAAATTGATTGAGAATTGATCATAGGTAATTGATCATAGGTTGATCAATCGCCTGATACTTAAAAGTAGACTCACAAATGGGTTGCCGAAATGGACTTTTAGCAACCGAAAATCCATACTCCCGCGAGATGTTTGAGTCGCGCAAAGTCGAATTATGAGTCACGCAAAGACTCAACATGGGTCGCGCACCGACCTCGACTTGGGTTTTACAGTAGTTGCTTCTTAGTAATCCAGCAAGCCAAATGTGGCCAAATCTTGATCTTCTTTCTCAGAGCGTTACATCTTTTTCGGTTTTGTGCTGAAATCTGCTTGTGTCCTCACGGATCGGCAATAACCGATTATCCCGAATAATTGAATGTCCCCAGATAGTGTTCCCAAACTGTTTCTTTTCCAGTCTGCCTAATTAAAACGCTCTAAAAGCAGTTTCCAATTTAGCCAGATTACTATGCAAGCAAAAAAAATCAGGTGGCTGAGTTATGAACCTCTAAAATTCAGAGTATAGCACCTTGGTGACCCATACTCAATCAGTCTAAGAAGCGGACTACTACCATAACCATTTAACTACTAAATATTTTCCAATTATCCAAGCAAGTCATTGCTGTTTCCCTCTTCATAACTTTTAATTCAGGAGAAAATAGATTTTGGTTCAATTAAAATGCTGGACAATGTCTTAAAAAGAGTCGAAATAAACCAACTTGATGTTCACAGAAATATTGTAAACCCGAAAAGTTAGAGGTATTTTCTTTGTTTTGGATTTCGGAGATTATTGTAAATACCCTGTTGGTATCTAGTCTTTTTATTTGCTTGAATTATTCACAGCACAATGAGCTTTGAACCGTGTTAATTGTCACATGTTTTCTACCTTGGAAACAAAGCACTCAAAGTTTATAAAAAATGTATCCTCAGTGTTTTGAACTATTTTCTACGAGTACTTTTTCGCCATGTTTCTCTGATCTTCTTTTTCAGGTCAGCTTAATATCTTTGAGAAGCCCGACAAAGTTGTTTTTACGGAGCAAAACGACAGGTTGGAAACATACCAGTTGCTGTCAAGGAAACAAAGGGAGCGTGAAACGCTTGAGCAGTTTCATTCAGTCCTGAGTGGGTTAGCAGCAAGCTGCAAACTTCGAATGCTAGAAAAAAAATTCCTCGCGATGTCTCTATAGTTAACATGACATGCAAAAACGAACAGACGGAGCTGTGCAGAACTAAAAAGACGCCGCGGACGAAGTCTGCAGTATCGCATTATCATATTAAGGGGAAAACAAGTACGCTGAGAATTATGAGATTACCGGGGGCGGAAAAGCGGCTGCGCCGACGGGGTGTTGCAAATAAAAATGGAGCCATTAAGCGCCATCGGTTCCAACAGGGAGCACGAAGTTCGTACAGAGGAACTACACAGGGCAGGACGGACAGACGTTTTCACAACTGCGGTCAGAGCGGTTTTGCGACTGATCAAATCAAAAAAGCAAAAAGGTTGATATACTACGAACGAACCGGAGTTGGCTTGGACTGATACAATGCGAGGACGTGTCACGGCGCCATGAAAACTCATTGGGGTCGATCAGCAAACAGCAACCGGGATCGCATGAATGAGACTAAAACAGTTCGAGTGCATTAAAAACCAAGCCGTTCTCATGTTATGAGAAAAATTAACGAAAACACAATGCTCATTCAAAAACAAGGAGGAACAATGACGATAGCCGGAGCAAAGTTTTTTCTCAAAATCAACGGATGGATAACGCAAACGTTGATTGAAAGCGGATCGCCTCGTTCGATGCTTTCTATTAGAGAGCTGAAATGTACTTTAGGAGCAAGCTCAGTGAAGTTGTCGCCGGTGGGTCTGAGCGACGATCATATCCGAAATCACAGAAGTATTCCGCTTAAAGTGATGTTGAAGATGAAAGTGCTTCTAAACTATATTGGTTGGTCGACAAATGCGAGCACCAAGGTGATCATAGGTCGGCAATCATAGGACCGAGTCTGATACGGCATTGGGATTTGGGATTGTAACTAATTCAAACATCAGCTGATGGGTTCGTGATCATCCAAGGGCTCGCGGATGAACTCGAAGAGAGCTGCAATGAGAAAATGAATTTGGAATTATAAAATGCCGGGAGAATTTTTCTTAGCTCTCAAAACGTGAGATATAAGCGAAAGTGCTCAAAAAGATTGAAGAAATCATAAACATTGTCGGCCAAATTATTAGCGAAGTGCGGAAACCAGCAATTATTGTAATTCCTACCTAAAGGGATGAGCATCCACTGGTACATATAGGTTTATTTAAGACATGGTTTTAAGGTTTAACAACCACGCTAGCGGAGTTTCAAATGGTCATGGACTCTATCTTAAGCAAACTTCTGTACGCTCACATATTTATTGATGATATCCTTATCATATTGAAGGAAGTGAAAAATGAACAAGTTGAGATGTTCGAGAAGACATTAAAAAAGCTTGATTGAAAAACTTGATGGTTGGAAACTGTCTAAAAATGAGTTCGCGAAATCAGAGTGCAATTGGCTCGGCCATAAACTAACAAAAATGGGAATAGAACCACTTATTAGAAAAACCGATCCTATCGACAATTTAAAGTCTCCAAAAACGCGTTCGCAATTGAAGCTTTCATGGGATCAGTTCGTAGCCTGCACAAATTTTTCCTTTGCTGGCCAAATCTTGGGCGCCATTACTGCTCTTTTTAGATTAAAAAAAAGATAATGTGTCTTTCCCATTGAAGCTAAAGCAATTCGGTGTTCATAAAGAGGTTCGCATTGTATTTTATGCCAGTCACAATGGCCTAGGGGCGGTGTTGGAGCAACTTGGCGCCGATTTCGTTCGCCTGCCGTTTGCTAAATGCGGTAGAACTGAAGTATTCAAAATCAAAAAGTGAGCTAGAAAAGTGAGCTGAGGTATGGTTTGCCTAACTTTTTGGAAATCAATATTTCGGGCAAAAATTCACGGTGCTAACGGATCACAAGGAACTAGTAACGTTGCTAAACTGAAACAATCAGAAGCAAAAAAAAACAATGTTTTGCCAACTTACCCGGTTGATAGATCGTAAACACCAGTTCAATATTGTTACAGAAGATACGCCAGTGCGAATTACGGTTTTGCGGTCTACCTTTCAAGAAATCCGGAGGGCAAGCTCAAGGAAACACCAGAAACGATAACACATTTATAGTAGCGAAAATTAATTTAATAAAAAACCCTTGAGTGTTTTTTAGAACGGCGTTGCAAACAAAATGGCTATAAGCAGAAACATAAATACAGTGCTGATTTAAATTAACCGGACAAAACGCATTAAACTTGAAATTTAAAACGCATTTTTCTCAAATTGGGTTGAGTTTACGTGAAAACTGATGAAGCTAAAATTTGTTTAAAATTTTAGCAGAATTAACATGGTGTAATTTGTTTTGCGAAATTCGGGCCCAAATTTTTACCCCAAAAATGGTTCATTTCGGCGTTTCTTAGTTAATCAAAAATTACGCCAAAAAGACCCAGTCGATCACAGAGATAATTATATCAAAGTGAGTCTCTTACGTAGCCCAACAAACTTTAAGAAAACTATGTTCTCCAAAAAAAATTGCAAATCGTTTCAAAATAGTTTTTAAATAAAAAATTGGTATTTTTTATAGTAAAAACGATCTTCTTGTCTATCAAACAAAAATAAATCAACTTATACAATGTTTTGGAGAATATACTTTTGATAAAGTTTGTTGGGCTACGTAAGAGGCTCACTTT